CAGAACGGAACCTACTAACCAGAAGGTTGAATAATTGGTTTAAATAAATTGCCTGAAGCTGTCATTTTACCCTGTGTGATGACTTATAGCCAGTTTTTGGTGCCAGGTTTGGACTCAACCTATTGTGCATCCCGGTTATTCCTACAAACTTAGAGATTTTTGTCGCAAATACATGAGGTAATAAGTCACTGCAGTTAGTTACCCAACCAACTAACAGCAGATTATCAACAACGGACTCAAATAGCATAGCATCACAATGGACGCATAAAATAGCGCTGAAGTACTACATCATGTTTTGTTGGAACAAGGAATAGAAGGGCTTTAGATGGTACAGATAAGAATTTTTTCCTAACTTAGGACCTCACGGAACCTGTGGCCTCGTTCATGGGGTAACTTTTCATGGATTCTTTGATATATGATTTCCTTCACCAGTTTGGGAGAGTGTGTTTTTTCTTATACCGCATTCATCGATAGAGTTTTGATTCCTATAAACATAAATACATACATACTGAACCACGAGCATCCAAATCAATAGCTTGCAATCACTACCTTCTACTATTTTTCAAAATGTCACAGTAAATGTACGGATGCCTGAAATAAAAAATCATACTAGATTTAAAATTTAACATTCTCCAAGTCCAAGAGATAGACTAACTACCCATCAAGAAAGAGGATTGCCCTAAAAATTCCAGACCCCGAGATTAACATTCCCAAAAACTGAAAAACAGTAATAAGAACGCATAAAAAAGTACCAGGGGATGCAGGTCAATAAAATTAACTATGCGAACCGGCGGGGACATTCTCCACGAGCTTCTTGTCCCTGCGTTCCATGGCAACGTCCCACATATCATTACCGATGTGTTTCGGCTGCACAAACGCAAACAACAGAAATCAAAATCCAAAAACTGATTACAGAGATCGATGATCGGAACTCAGAGAAAGGAGATCCGTCGAGCAAAGAAGAGGGGGAAAACGCTAAAATCAAAACCAGCACAAAGTTAATTACCCGGCCATTCGCGGCTTTGTGTATGTGATATTGAGCATTCCCCATTATACAAAGCATTCCGGCGATGATTCCCAGAGGAAGTGCCGCTTCCAGCCATCTCCATCCCATTTCTCTATCTGCTGTTGAAATCTCGGGGTTCCTCCGATGGCTACGAGCTCGACGATATATCTCGCAGAGCATGTGGGCCTTAGCTTGGGCTCGTATTCGACGCATTTCCAAGGTCCAATTATTTAGTGGGCCAGTCTTCGAAGACGGCCCATTAAAATTTTTAATTAATTAATTTAATGTTATTTTAGCGGTTGATTTTACACCGATGAATTACAAATTTAGTCTACCAACTTATATTATCATATCTATTGATGATCGAGACCAAATTCCCGACAATGAGCCCATATTGGGAGAATAACTTCTCATATGTGGTAACTTGATTCGAGGTACTATTACTCAACCCGAACCATAAAGGTTCAGTCGGTTGGGTTGGGTTAGGTTTTTTAGGGTTGAATTTTTGGAAAATTAAAAATTCAATTTAGTCGTATCCTCTCTAATACATTTTGGGACATTTTAGCCTTTGCAGGTATAGACACGATTTTAGTGAATGGTCATACACTCTCGTATTGACCCAATATGAAATGGTAAAGACCTACTTATCTAGCATGAAAGCATGTAAAATGGGTTTGAAACGGGCATACAACTATGGACAACATGTCCTAGACAAGCAAGACTGAGATATCTATCATGCGGCCATTGACAACACGGCTTAGACATGCATAACTGTGACATCCTCCCTCACTTAATTAGTTGACGTCCCTGTCAACCAACTCAGACATGCAAGACTATGACATTTGTCATGCTTTAGGCAAGTATGACCGGCGCGTAAAAAGTTTTTTTTTTTTTTTTTTTTTTTTTNTTAGGCAAGTATGACCGGCGCGTAAAATTTTTTTTTTTTTTTTTTTTTTTTTTTGGAAAAATAAGGTCACAATTCAACCCAATGCCTTCCATAATGCTTTGTGATTTGTAAATATTTGATATTTGAAATTTATGAGATTTTAATTATTAATGTTATATGTACAGTAGATAAATAGAATTTAAAAAACAATTCAACCATTCACCCGAACCAAGCTTGAAAATAAATGGTTATATTGTACCAACCCAACTCTCAAAAGAACTTAGTCTATCATACACATCCCTATCTATTATTTCGAGTGTTACTTCGTCGTTTGAAATTTGCATACAAATGCAAGATAGTGTAACAGTCTAAGTCAATCGCTAGCAGATATAGTTTGCTTTGGCCTGTTACGTATAGTCGTTAGCATCACTAATTTAAAACGCGTCTTCAAGAGAGGTTTCTATCTCATTAAAAGGAATGTCATGATACTCCCCTTGAGGGCCCTAACGTTCTCACTGGTGTCACAATCGCACTCTTGATGACAGTGGACTTGCAATTGTGGGCCACTCACTTTCCAACGACAAATGAGCTTAAGCTAATTCGTTCTTGCGTCGCCTACGGCGAAGCGACGTATGCTCGAGCCTTTGGTCTTGGTTTTAAGAGAAGATTTTAGAAAACGAGAGTAGAGAGAGATTTTTGGTAAAAAGATTTTTGAAAGAAACGTTATATAAGCAAATAAGAGAGAAATAACAACGGCTCACTGTACATTCTGAGACCTTTCATGTCTGACAAGCCTAGACATGATATTTCTGAAACTTCATATTTACTAGAAATACAAAAATAAAACACTAGAATATGAAAAGACAAAGGGTTGGCTTGTCATAGGCATGCGGTCATAGGCAACACGTCTTGGACGAGCATGACCATGCAACTGGCACACGCCTGTTGTCTGACTCTAATACCATTTATAACAGCTAAAGTCCACTACTAACAAATATTGTCCGCTTTGATTCGTTACTTATGGTTATCAGCCTTATGAGTTTAAATGCCATTCTACGGACTCTATTTATTTACAATCAGACCCTTTTACTTCACGATATTTGCAAAGAAGGTCCACTTTCATCTCAATTCACTCCCTTAACGAAACTTCATTATGGTGGACACGTGTCGTCCATGTAGAGAATTATAAGTGATAAATAATTATTTTATTACAACCGTAAATGAACAAATAAACAATGAAGGCCACAAATTATTTTTGAAACCACCGACTTATTTTATTTTATTTTATTTTATTTTTTTTAATACTTCTTCTTCGTTCTCTCTCTTCAATTTAAAAAATCAGATGTTTAAGCCTCTAATTAAGTAATAAAAAGTAAAAATATAATTTCTAAAAAATACCTGTATTTTTTTAATTAATTTAAATTTAAAAAGTCCTTAAAAAAACTATAAAATATGAAAGGAAATTTTAATTTAGTTAATTAACTAAAAATATAAATTATATAAAATTTAAAATTTATTATGATTTATTAAGATTAATTAACACTAAGATATCATAGTTTTCTCTCATTTTCTCACATTTTCTATATATTATTCGAATTAAATTGCATTATAATTAATAATATTGAACTACAAATAAATAAAATCAATTCAATATAAAATTGTAATAGATAAATAATCATATATTTATTTGATTTTTTTTTTGGAGGTAAATATTGTAGGCGCCTCCGTCTCTAGAGCTTCCCACATTTTTTTTCTTATTTTTTTAATTTTTAAATAATATAATTATAAATAAAAATTTGACAATTTATGTACATTTTCAAACCTAAATATAAAAAATCTTATGTTAAAAAATAGTTAGTTTTTTAAAGAACATTATTAGTTTTTATTTAAAAAATACCATTAATATCCTTCCGCTAAAAAATATATTTATCATTAGTACTAAATTAAAAAAAAAAAAATATATATATATATATATATTTATAAAAATTTAAAAATAACATTAATATTCTTTATAAAAAAAAAATTTACCGTCAATATTATAGACAAAAACTGTCTTTCGACCCCTCATAGATTATATCTAAACATTTTAATATTATTTCATAAGATTTTTTAAATGTGAATAATTGTAAAAATCTTTTAAAATTTTTTCTAGATTTGAAATGATGTTACGGTTACAGAAACTTTGAAATATATATACATACACCTACAAAAAGGACATAATCATGTCGCATTTCATTGTCATCTCGGTTTCCAACTATACGATTCATACATCGTGATGCCATTCTATGTCTTGAGACACATTGACCAAATAGGCTTGCTCGGACACATCAGTTGGGAACTGACCCATGTATTGATCGTCTCATTTGAACATCTCGAACATCCATCCATCCAAATTTTCTAGATCATCAGAGTCTCCCATGTCCATACTAACCATTTATGACATACGTTCCAGATAGTTGGTGCATAATCCAATCTCTGACACATGGACTAGGGTGCAATATCTGTACACCCGTGCCGTCTGGTACTGTTATTGAAAAAAACCATTTTTTAAAAGAAGATGTCTCAAACACTCGCCCACGCTATGACACACACATGTTTCACAAGGTAGCTCGCTTAGACCATAAGGTTCAAGGGTGATGGAGAGCTTGAAACATAGGACGACATCACGATGCATGGATCATGTTGTTGGGAACCGAGATGACAATGAGACATGATTGTGTCGTGTATATATACCAACTTATTTCATATTAATTTATTTCTTTCCTCACGGATATTCACATCCTTCGAACGCAAGCTCATAAGCTACAAACTCCCCATTAATCGTCTCGGTTGAATTTTATGTCCACTAAAATCCTAACGTGTCAAATTCTTATTTAAAAGTTTAATTTATAATTTAAAATTTTAAAAAATAAACTTATAATAAAATCATTATAACCACTTAACATATTTGCTTTTTTATTTGTTATTTTTAATTTAACCTAATTTCTTAAGCTTACTAAATTTGAATTTAGTTTCCATTATTTCAATCACAAAAAAAAAAAAAAAAAATAATAATAATAATAATAATAAAAATAAATAAATAAAGAAAAGGAAACGACGACCATTTACAATCATAGATTTTCCTCATTTCAGCTTCCGTATACTTACAGGCGTCCACCCTTTTACTCCTTACCTCTGCCTCCGCCTCCCTCGTCGGAACTGTTCTTATCCACCGTCTTCTCCGGCGACATCGCCGTCTCAATCTTCCGACATCCCTCTTCCATTTCCCAATCCCCCGATTCTCTGAACATCCATTTCTGCTCACAGTTCAATAGCCAAAGGCCATGTCCGGTATGTACGGTACCAACTTCTCCCCTGCAAGAACTGCTTCGCCTCACATCAGGACTACTCCTGATGGAGACAGGTACCACCTCCGATAATCCACTTCCGAGAATTTTCCTTCTGTTTAATTTAACGTTTCTAGAGTTTGCTCAGCTTTAACAAGCTGAAATCACTAATTGAATAATCAATCCACCTTTGGTTCTTTGTTTTTTAATCTTTAGTCAGTACTTGTCGGAGCTACTAGCGGAGCATCAGAAGTTCGGCCCCTTCATGCAAGTTCTTCCGATCTGTAGCCGACTTTTGAATCAAGGTAGTGCTCTTCTCTGAATTTTTGGTGTTCCTGAATTTATTTCAGTGCTTAATTGTTGCGGCGGTGTTTATGTGTATGTCTAGATCGGTGAAGCTGGTGAACTTCTCCTTTTCCTCTTTAGTATCATTAGCGATTGCTCTCTTTGCCCTCGGGGTTGACTGTTGAATTGTGCATATGTTAGTCTTGGATAATCTCTTTCACTTTCTTGAATCTGGTTTTGTGGAATTCTGTTCTTTTGGGTGCTGGAAAAATCTTAGCTACTCTTGTTGGGTGCTTAATTCTTCTAGTTCATGATGTTCTACATGTTATCCATTCAGTTAGATTTTTCTTCTTAAGTTTTGGAGAGTTATGTATTCTTTATACTAATATCTTGTACAAAAATCTCTTCTGATGTATCACTGTCATGAACTAATATACCATTGAAAGACCAAAAGCCTCGTGCATACATTAAGCTTCGAAGAGCGATATTCAAGCTTTTTGTGTTATAAGAATTGAAGGTTTAAGTCATTAAGTTTGGTTTAGAATGTTATTAGATATTTATTAGTTCTTGTTATGTCAATACGGGAGTATATGATTGTTCACTACAATCATGTCTACATTTGTTAAAGCTAAAATACCTCAAAATATATTATAGGAAATGTGTCTAGTTGTTAATTCTTCCTACCCATATTATACGCTATCAACGATTTCCAAACACTTTCTAAAATTTTCTCTATATAACCTTTTTCTAATTTTTTTTTATGAGAAATGAGACTAGATGACCCAAGTTCTAGTGGGCTGACTCTCGAGGGTGAGAATAAGTGATGCACAATTACATTGTGAGTCCTGACCTTTCATTTAACATTTTAACGATTTTTCTACTCTAAAAGTAATTTTGAATTATTTACAAAAACGTGTAATTTTGAAAAAAATAAAGATTATTTTTGAAATAGGGAGTAATTATTTATAATTTGAAAATATTGTAAAGAATGAAACAAGTGGACTTCGTCTTCAAATCTTAGCTGTATCATGAAGTGGTGGTTCCATTTGGACCCAATATTTAATCTATTCATCAGTAGCGGAGGTTTGAATTCATCCAAATTGGTGATGCGGCAATCTCATGCTGACAATCTGTTCTTTTTTGGTCATTCACTATACCTTAGTCTTTGACACAAGAACTGAAGGCTGGATGTTGAATGTGGAAAAGCTTTTCAAGTGAAGGTTCATCATTTAAGGCCCTGAAATATGTAGTAGTTTTAGAAATCAATGTGCGAATAAAAAAAATGGTGCTCGTATTAGTACTTGTGTAAGAGCTTCCTCGATCAGGATCTATTCTTTAGGTTGTACCTCTTGCATTTTTGAGTTCTAAGTCTAGTGCTGTTCGAACTTACGGAGTTGTCCTTGGATTCTTTGGCGTTTGATAGTCACGTAATGCTCCAAGGCTCAAGTTTCGACCTCCATTTAAATTGCCATATTGGGTGTTGATGAACTTCATCCTGCTCTGAGCAGCATAGTATTTATTTGCACTTCCTAATTGATCTTGTTATAGAGTTCGGTTTTGTTTATAAGTATTATTCTCTGTACTTAATGCGCAAATATATTTCTATATCTTCCTTTTGGTATGTTTCTGCTTTTCAATTCTGTCGGTAACTTCTAACTGCAAGCTCTTTAAATGCAGAAATATTGCGGGTTTCTGGAATGATGTCCAACCAGGGTTTCTGCGACCTCGATAGGCTTCAGCATAGAAGTCCTAGTCCAATGGCTTCTTCAAACCTTATATCTAATGTTAGTACCACAGGTTTGAGTGGCTGGAATGGTCTTCCTCAGGAGGTAATTACTATTTTAGCATCAAAACTCCATTGGTAACTCCTGATACCTGTTGATCTCATCATTTTGAGTACAATTTTAGTATGTTTTGATATATAGGCTAATATGCCATCATTGTTACTCGATAGTTTGAAGGTAACATTGTAATTCTCCCTCTAAAGTAGGCTCGTAGCTTGAGGGATTGGGGCTGCAATAAATGTTGCAGTATGCCATTATTTATAGCTAATTACAAAAGTTTGTTTGTCATTTTATTTAATATGAATTTTGGGAATATATGCAGTGAGAGAAGGAGCGGACTTGAATTTGTCTTTAACTCGGTATTTGTTCTTGAGTTGAACACGTCTCATGAAATTGATAGTTTCTTTTCCATTTGTTAATCTTCTTATTTTTGTGTGTTTGTTCGTTCGTTCGTTCTCAATAAGATTGTAATAATTCTAATTAATTTGCTTATGAAAGAACTAGATCTACCAGGGAATACAAAAAAAAAAAAAAAAAAAAAAAAAAAAAAAAAACCAAACCAGCCAACAAAAAGAAAAGATACCTGGAGAAATTACAAAAAGTGGAACTTGCCTATTGTAACGACCCAAGCCCACCGCTAGCAAATGTTGTCCTCTTTGGGCTTTCCCTTTCAGGCTCCCCTCAAGGTTTTTAAACCGCGTCTGCTATGGAGAGATTTCCACACCCTTATAAAGGATGCTTCATTCTCTTCTCCAACTGATGTGGGATCTCGCTTATAGCTTTGAGTACTTTTCTAGCATGTAAACTTCCAATCTTGAAAATCTCACTCCAATGACTTAAAAAATAAAAGAAGTGTGAGAGGATTTCTTTGGCTCCATGTTTAGGCTTGTGATAATGAATATATTTTATTATTTTTTTACTTTCTCGTTTGAGTGGCCAAAAAATTCTTCGCCATTCTTGAGGATTGCCTTGCACGGGTTACGCTTATTGGTTCTCCACTTTAAAACTCAACTGAAAGCATTATCTATAAGACAAAAGAAGAAGAAGAAAAAAGAAAAAAAGAATTAGTAACAAATCTGGATAATCCCAATGTTTCTAACAAAAATTGGCCTCTTGATGTAACATTATTCGAAGTTATTACAAGAACTATTGAAGAATGTTTCAACAATATATAGATGGTATTATGATAATGTTTTTCCAGGCTACTTTTTTCTGTTGCAGTTCTTTCATCTTCATTTTGGACCCCATGATTGATTATTTGATCGTTGCATACTGATATCTCCTGCACTCCCAGTCCTCATATCCTGTTATATTCATACAGAATTCTTTCTATGTTAATTAGTCTTCAGGATGGTTTTGTTTTAAAAAAGTTGTATTAATATGGTAGAACCTTTTGAAAAATACAGCAGAGATTAAGTAGAGCCACCGGAATGACAATGGACTGGCAAAGTGCACCTGCGAGTCCTAGTTCGCTCACCGTGAAGAGAATTCTACGTTTGGAAATACCTGTGGATACTTACCCCAATGTAAGTTCTGTCGAATTTCAAATGTCTTTTTATTTGCTGGTCATACGCTAGCCGGTCTGTACGACCTGTACGTACGCAAACCCATATATTAATACTTGAAGTTTCTGCTCTTTGTGGATGTCAGTTCAATTTTGTAGGGCGACTTTTGGGTCCTCGGGGCAATTCCTTGAAACGTGTGGAAGTTACCACAGGTTGTCGTGTATACATTCGAGGGAAAGGGTCGGTAAAGGATCCAGACAAGGTACTATAAGGGTATCTCTAATTTGGAATCAATGTATCACATGATGGATCTCTCAAGAATCAAGACTATTGTAGAGATATTTTGCTTCTCTCATTGGATTGTTATCATTCTGTTGAGCATTAGTATTGGTTATAAATTGTATTCGTACTTAATTTGTTTTAACTTTTACATTGTCTAGGAAGAGAAGTTACGGGGACGACCTGGCTACGAGCACTTGAACGAACCACTGCACATCTTGATTGAGGCAGATTTACCAGCCAATATTGTTGATATAAGGCTCAGACAGGCACAAGAAATTATTGAAGAACTGCTCAAACCCGTGGTATATTTTTTTACCTTGGATACTTTTTTCGAGCAATTTTGGCTGGCCAAAGTCACTCTTTTCTTCATGCTCGAAAGTACATCCCACTAAAATCATCATTTTGTGGAAGAAATTTATAAGCATACACCTTTATATTTATTTTACTCAAAGCCTTGTTCTATTAATATTAGTAAAACATACCGGTTTAATTGCAACTCATTTACTTGTTTATGAAACTAAAGTTGCTTTCAAGAACCTTTCTTGAATCAATGGGCCAAGTTATCATTCTTACCCATGTTAATCATCAACCCCTCATGGATTTTTTGCATTCCTCATCCTTTGACACAATCGATTCAGATTTTTCTTTTTTCTTTTCCCCGAACACGCTGTGTTCTAACAGACTTCTGATTCTTCTGGCATATGAATCATCAACTTGCAGGATGAGAGCCAAGATTACATAAAAAGGCAGCAGCTACGTGAACTCGCTATGCTAAATTCAAGTTTCAGAGAAGACAGTCCAGGACCTGGTGGTAGCGTCTCTCCATTCAACTCAAGCGGAATGAAACGTGCCAAAACAGGTCGTTAAGTGCTCATATCCTTTCTTACCTTAAAGAATTTCTACCCCAGTCCAGAATTCAGTCACTTGTATAACTCGATGTGAATCTGACCGACCGTGTGACGTAGCTAGGAGTAAGGGGAGGCTAACTTCAGTTCCAGGTGAGCCTTCTCTCTGTGTTCGTTTAATATTCTTGACAAAGAGACTGGAATTAGTAAAAAAAAAAAGAGAGTGAAAAGGAAAAAACAGTAGGGGATGGATTATATGTTGAGTGTAGGTTTGATAGGTCAGTTTTTCCAACAAAGTTAATATATTCATTGGATTTATTCTTGTGTTAGGGACTGCTGAGGAGTGTGTAGTTTTACATTATTAATGCAAAAACATTAGGAAGTGATGAATGTAATATTGTTTGATATTTCTTAGGTGTTGTAATGTAAGCAATGTCAGTGTCAATTATATTTTTGGAATGATATGTGAAAGAACAGTGCAAAAACTCAATCAATGTGCTGCTCAGTTTGTGTTTGCTATCAAGTTTCAGAATATGATTCTCCTCTCTTTTTTTCCATTTGCTGAAGAAGTTGTGAACATATGCCTCGACTTTTCCGACATGTACTGTTTCGTTGTTCTCGATGTACTTTTTGCTATGTTTTTGGACCATTAAGAGTGTAGGTGGGTCGGTTTGGATTGACTTTTGAATAGGTTTGGATTGACTTTTGAATAATGTTGTGATTGAATTGAGACTTCTATTCAAGGAAAGTGAACAATCAACTGAGTGGATGAAGTTTGATGGATAAACTCACAAAGGTAGCATAAATAGGCATTGATCTGTCTCGAGGTTTGAATTGTGGAGATATGTTTACTGTCACTTGTTAGCTCTATCGGCCCCGTGCTTAGTTGTTTTGGATGCATTTTTTCGCTATTTTTTCTTTTTTTTTGGATGATTTGGAGTGTACGTGGGTTGGTTTGGATTGACTTTTAAACAAAATCGACAAAATTAATATATATAAAAAAATTAAATTAATAAAACTATTCCTAAATTGTTAGTAGTTTTAATAATATTCTTAAACTTGGTCGGAGGATATTTGATGACTACTTGATTCTCGTATTGTACATTTTGAGGCATTTCATGTCGGAGTACACATGATTTTGCGAGTAATACACACAGTAAATATAATAATAAAATAATACAACATGAAAGTAGATAAAACGGTTTGACATAACATGGGTATGCGGTCGCACGCAACACGTCCTGAATAAGTATGACCATGGCACCAAGCAGCTTCTTGCAATCTTTGCGAGTTGTTTCACTGGTCATATGTTTGAACTCGATGCATTCACAATCTTAGATCGAACCTTTGTTTTACAAATGAACCATCTTTGTAGCGTTGGATTAGCAACCGAGATCGTTGGGATTAAACCCTCGAATGGCTTGATCAAATTGAAAGAAGATGGATCTGAAATTCGAAACACTCAACAAGCCACCTCCCACATTGTTGAACGCCATGACTCGGGGGCTAGCAGTAACTTTGATTGGGAATGAACTCATGTGGTGTTGAGACGTTTGACCAATGTTCTCGGTAGCATGATGTTTAGTTCGTTGAAGTCTCACGTTGACTAATTAGAGAAGAAGATTATGGGTAAGTAAGGGACATTACTTCAATTAGTATAAGACATTTTAAGAAAATTAAAAGCAAAATCATGAGAGTTTGTACTTAAAATGGACAATATCATATCATTATGGAGATTTCATGTCATATCGCTGGTATCAGAATCATGTCTAATCATAACTTAGTCATATCAATAGAATTCTCGAGTATTAAACAAAGAAATTATGACGTTTGAAGTTGTAGTGATGTATACTCTTAAGAAGATCAGTCGTCTAGGTAGTGCTAGACGGATATATATCATTATTTAAAGGGAGACTCAATGCTATATTTATTCGGGGAAGATTGCTAAGGATTGTTGGAGTCCACGTTGGCTAATTAAGAGAAAAATCATGAGTATATAAGTAAGAGATACTATTTCAATTAGCATGTAACATTTTGGGAGAATGAAAAAGTAAATCACGAGTTGAGATTAGATATATCTATGGGTGGAGCAACATTCTCTATCCACTTCCCTTTCACCTATTTCTTCTTTATTTCTACTCTAATTTTTATTTAATATCTATAAGAAAAAAATTTTAATAATGGTGTGAAAAGTAAACGCATTTTAAAAACTTTGAAGAAAACAAAACATTTTTTTTTTTACAATAGTGTAAAAATTTCTTTCTAGTAGACACATTTTAAAAACTTTAAAGAAACGACTTTACGATGATGTGGAAAACCTCTTCTTAGCAGATGCGTTTTAAAAATTTTGAGGGGAACAAAACATTCTTTACAATAGTATGAAAACCTCTTCCTGGCAAACACACTTTAAAAACCTTGAGGGAAACAAAACATTATTTACGATGGTGTGGAAACCTGTACTTAGCAGATGTGTTTAAAAAACTTTGAAAGGAGCAAAACATTCTTTACAATAGTGTGAAAACTTTTCCCTAATAGACACATATTAGAAATCTTGAAGAGAAATCTAAAAGAAAAAATTCAAAGAAAATAATATCTACGCCAGAAAAGTTGCGGTATTGAAATTTTAAAAATATAAAAAATTATTCAAAAAATAAGAAAAGTAATCTAAAATTCCTAAGGTATGAAAAGATAAATCAGAACCCCTATGGTATAGAAGAACTTAAACACACACCTCTAGAAATTGGCCGCTCCCTCCCTCCTCTCTCTTGCAAATTTGAGTAAAAACCACTGCCATGAGTTGCTCTTTAAACTCATGTGTGTGCTACAATTCTAAAATGTGTATCTCCCATTTCAAGCAGAAGCAGCAGCAGCAGCAGCATGCCGCAACGACCTGCCAAAATAATTACAAAGACGACGAACCCGCTCGCTCGCTCATCATCTTACTGCCTCTGGTGCAGAATTGCAGTAAGGCGTGTGCAAGCAAACCAGCTTGGTGCACATCAAACACAAGATAGCGAACCCCAAACCAAGCACAAGTCCGCTGCTACTTTTCTGTGTATCCAATTGCATTGCTCTTTTGATTATACTTCCGAAGCTCGGAAGTAACCCTCCACAAGCCAGCACCATCACGTGATCTAACCCGCTGTAGTCGATACCTGCAAGTATGGCTCCAATGGCAGAGATTGGACCAACGAATCCAATGAGGGCTGCGCTCATGAGAGATCCATGCCAGTTATCAGTCGCCCCGAATACACAACTAGCTACTGCTGCGCCCCGAGGGAGGCCATGTAGAGAAACAGGAAGAACCATGTGACGACCGAATCCGTAAGCTTTCGGTGCAGCGACTCCTAGTGCAAGCCCTTCGGCTAAAGCATGAAATGCAACTGCTCCACATGATAGGAAAGATTGAAGGGTGTGCACACTTGCTGAAAAATTAGTTGAAGCAGGTAAATCATTCACTGAAGCTCTTTTCCCGCCAGCAAGCTTCAGAAGACTGGAATTCGAGAAGTGGACGAGTACCGCTCCTAAAATCAAAAGGATTACGAGAGGGATGAAATCCATTTTTGAAGAAAATAGTAGCTGCATCGGTCGCCAGGCACCGAGGATGAAAGCAATCCCAGAAGCAGCACCCATGAGAAGGGCATGCTGAAGATGGAAAGCAAGAGCAAATGCAACTAGAACAAGACCACCGAGTAGTGGTCCGACGCCAAAAAGTAAGGAAACAAAGAAGCCAGAAACAACTTCAGAGCTGAAATACAAAAATATCGAATCGATCAATTGGAAGAAAATAGCAAGGACAACTACATAGTCGAGTATTCGGAACGATATTACGCCAATTTTTGCACACAACCAGCATGCACTTCTGACTTCATTGTTAGCTAAACTAATAATCAAATCATTTTCATCATGCATGCCAACTTTTAATAGCCTTTCCTAGAATGTAATCATTTTTTTTCTCGCAAAGGTAGGTTCTAAAGACAATAGAGTAGGAAAAAAACGATATGAAGTTCAAATATTTTAAACTCACTTGTATTCACGGGTGAAACTCTGGAACAATGTGCCTAGAGCTTCCATGAACGCCACAGAAAGTGTGGCTGCGGATGCAACTTGTGATGGTGAGGCTTCCTGTCACCATAAAGCAGAGAAAACCAAAATTACTATCCGAGCAGTTAAATGACTCTTTAGCAGTAAACCCACTTCATATGATTCCAAATTCCCTCGATCTTTTAATATAACACAAACTTCTTGAATAAACAAAATAGAAATTAAGACAGAGCAGAAATAGTATACAAACACAAGATAATCAGTCCAATAGATGCCCGCCTGTTTGATATTAAAGTAACAAAACTATTATACATGAATGAAGCAAATCTTAACATCATCGCACAAAGTTCTCACTAATAGCATAAAGCTAAACTTTACACAGTTAAAATTTCATTTTCAAGAAATAAGAATAACGAACAGTTAAAAAGAATATCACAAGAGGTTCAAACTTGGGCTCAGACAATTTCACCGTCTTAAAAAGAATATCACAAGAGTGACCACATTTCGACTACTGAGCCATGGAAATGTTCAATGATAGTCAGATCTTTCTTTTACGGATAACTAGGCATCAGGAACCTCATTCTCTTGCATGTGCTTTTGCCCAACACCCTTTGATCTATGGTTAGGCCTTACCCACCCCAATGCCAGTTTTCGGGACAACAAGAGTTTTAAGTAGATAAATTTTCAACTTGGGAGCTCAAACTTAGGACCTTGCGGAGCTAGTGCATCTTGAAAATTCCTAAGACCTTGTGGAGCTAGAGTATCTCCAAAATTCCTAAGTTCATGCCACCCAGACACCCCTAAATAGTTCTATTTAGAAGAATAAGTTAAATGTAAATCATTTTTAGGGCAGAAAATTTAGACCCCCTCAAGTTTCTCATTCTACATTCCAGGTTAATAGGGAAAAAAACATGAAATTGACGATCTTAAAGCTAAGAGTACCTTAAATGCATCTGGGAGTACTTCTGCGATCACCATCCATATCATACATCCAGCAGCAAAGCCCGTACAGAAGGGAAGGAACTTATTAAATGCATCAGCACATATGAAAGAGGGAACTGCTACAATAGGCTGAGACATTTAAATTGCAACAGAGTTAAAAACTAAAATTATACAACCGCATTTAAGGAGAGACAAAATAGAATTTTTCATGACAATCACAACATTAAGCACTAACTTACAGCACAATAAATTGTAGATTCTCTGGATAGTTATTAGAATCTATTGACGTGACGGGTAGATAACGGAGATTATGGATTAAATATAATGAAAACATTAAAAGAATAAGCATTTGATAATGTAATGGGCTATCCAACATGCCACCCAGGCACATGAACCTTCATTATGAAAAATAATTAAAACTGTTCTGAAAGAAATCAAACCACTGTGTTTGGATATCGAATCTGGCTAAGATGTCGAAGTATACCAAAAAAAAGATCACTCGAAAACAATCTAAAAATGCTGACTGTAGGATTGTCTTGTGCTTTTGAACATATAAATTCTTGTCTACATGGCATAATGTTCTTTTCATAGAGGATAAACAAGTTAACATTTTATAAATGCAATACCTGCGGTAATGATGTAATCACACTCCATAATAAGGCATTCTGTGGTGAGACACCCCTTGAGGCAAGAACCATACTTACAGCTAATCCCTCAGGTATATTATGCACAGCAATAGCTAAAGTCACCAAAAGACCTTGAGAGAAACCCTTTGACCCAGCAAAAGAAACACCAACACCAGAGCCCTCACCAAATGAATGAAGAGTCATTATGCCAATTATAAGAACAACTTTAGTTGCATCTGCACCTTTTATATCCAACATACTCACTTCACCATACTGTTCAAGAAACTGAAAATCAACATATAACAAGAAGAAATGAGATCTTGATGCATTAATCAAATGATTGGGATAACAAATGCATAAAACATGGATTTAAGACAAAACAGCAATATACTGAGCAGGTTAACTTTAAATATGCTATGCAAAAGATAAGCTATGAACCGACAATTCCATCGTATTTTATATTTAAAGAAAAAAAAAGCATGATTATTTAAGACTCCACATTAACATTCGGCAAAAGTAGAGAATGCCCAAGAAGCAGCAAGCAAATTTACATGGTAAAATCTAAAGGGATAGGATAAAACAATATTTAAGTAGAAAGATGGGGTCCATCACCTTCTTACAAAGCCAAATAAAAATTCCACCAGCCAAAATCCCAATTACCACCCAATTGCCGGCACCATGTTCCTGCCCTTCTTGAATAAGATCAAAGCTAGCAGCCAACATCACCCCAGAAGCCATTCCATTGCATATACCAGCCCACTGTGTATCGAGTTCCACAAAGAAGAATGGAACAGCACCTAAACCAGTGGCAGCAGCCATGGCTAATGTAAATACTGCAACAGTCGATACTGAAACTCTACTCCCTCCTTTTCTCTCATGCAGCAACAAATTCTCTGTACCAGAGCCATCGATAACTTTTATTCCATCTTTATCTGGGGCAGATATTATCTTTTGTGAATTCCCTTGTTCAAACTCAGCTATAGCACGACCACAGAACAATAAGGACAGTAGAGAAAACAGCAGAACATGCTTAAAAGCCACTTTCATTTTTTCCTTCTCAAGCAGATTTCACTCAGTGATTACAACTTCATGAATTAGACGGATGAACAGTAATCTTCTCACGGAGAAAATTAGGAACACAAATTTGCCCAATCTCCCAAGCACCAGATAGAACGGTCTTTACTACTTCACCACAATCCTAAAAGAGCATTAGACACTGTTTCCTAGTCAAGGAGCTTATAGCATAAAACTTCCAGGAGCTGCATGCATCCTTCACTTCAAAATTTTAAAAACCACCTTCTCTTGTTAGATTAACGCTAGGGAGACGCCTTTCAGCTATGCTGTGAATCAAAGAATGATCATAAGAATAAAAAGTTTGTTACAACATTATCTACCAAAAATGAGAAAAAAATACAAAATTTCTCAACAATAGAACCATGGTGTTTATGCTCTTCACTTTCACAGAGTGTCAACCGAGATGCAGGTTGAGTACATACATCAAAACAGACGCACCATGAATGGTATTCGTATTTCTAAATCATAAGAGATACTATTAGCAGATCCAATTGTTAAAAAAAAAAAAAAAAAACGAAGATAAAGAAAGCAGGGCAATCAAAAAAAAAAAAAAAACAAAGAGGTGTTGAGATAGATTCACCTAAAAGGTAGCCAATCCAATCGTCCATGCAATATTACTGAACTTTACATCAACAGACTTATACAAATTCGCAAAAACCTTCTCCAAAATAAAAATTAAATAACACAACGAAAATGCGGGGGACAACGCGAAGGACAATAACCATCCATCGAAAATCCCTTCCACAAAATACAAAAAGAAATGATTTACAGAGGATAAGCAATGGACGCTAACCACAAAGTCAACAACAATCCCATCATGAAACAACGCTAGAATCAACCAATTCCATGATCAAACCCACCAAACAGAATTTCCCAACACCAATATAGGCATTTCAAGAAATTTAAGACGAAATTGCAACAATTCCTTTAAAGAATGACCAGAAAAATAAAGAAGGGAAGAAACGCATTCTTGAATGAAATTGAAGGCAATGTATACAAATGCAAACAGAACCCTAACAAGTTGAAATTGAAACAAAAACAGACATGGAAATTACAGATGAATCAAAGACGAAAAATTGAAAAGAAAGGAAGGGGAAATCGAACTTACATTGAAGAATTGGAGAAATGAAGAACAAAAAATGGCGCTCCCCAGACTTCAAACTTTGGGCGAATGAGAAAAAGAGCGGTTTTCTTCGTAAGGTGGTTGGTGGAATAATAGGAAACTTCACCTCACCGCCGATCTTAATTTGGGACAAAAATAACCCCCTTAAAAAATTTATATAATATTTATGATTTAGTCCCTATACTTTCAAATATTTCAATTATGTCCCTCAATTTTTACTCATGATATAAATTTAAATTAAATTACTATATATACTAATCATCTATCGTGTTATATTAAATTGAATATGAGTATACTTTAGCTTAATAATATTATCGAATTTTTTTAATTTAAATTAAAACATATTATATTAAAATAAATTTATAATTTAATCGATATATTTCAAATATATTGGACTTCAAATTAAAACATATTATATTAAAAAAAAAAAGGTTTATTTTGTAACTATTATTTATCATATTTTTATTTTTTTTAATGGGAGCATTTGAATTGGAATCTAAATTCTAAAAATAAAAACAAATTTGAAAACATTTTTAAAAGTGTTCTTCATAAATTTAATTTAAAAAATAATAATTATCCAACGAATAGCCTCCTGTTTTATTATAATTTTTTTTATAGAATTTATGAATATATCAAATATAGAATTCAAATTTTAGTAAGGAGCAAATAAATTAATTTAAAAATTAAATATATTAAATACCAAATTTAATTTAGAAATATATTCAAACTTTAAATATGGATTAGGAAGAATTATTATAATTTAAATTAATTAATTTAAAGAAAAAACCTAGAATTGGAAATATTAAAAAAAAATAATAATAATAATAATAGAGAGAGGAAAACAGCACACTGTTTTGATCCAACTTTTGAGTCCCATTTTGTGTTTTGTATTTAGTCAACGGAATAATATAGAAAAAGAATATTCCGAATTTGTCCCATTTACTTCTTTTTTTATTTTTATTTTTAACTATTTTTTTCTTAGGAGGGTTAAAAAAAATTAAGTAATAAAAATTTCATAAATTTTTCATATGAATTTATTTTTAATTTTAAAATATATTTTTTTCATGCATATATTTATTTAATTTTATAGTTATTTTTTAATATTTATAACATTAATTAACTATTTTAATTAAAATTCGAACAAATCAATATTTTACTTTTATTAAAAACAAAAATTTAAGCGATTCTAGTTTTGAAATTTAGCTATTAGCTTATAAGTTTTAACTTTTAATTAATTAATTAAAAATAATTATGATATAACATTTTAAATTAATTTTAATATTGATGAAAAATTAGTAATATTATTTTAAAATTAANTAATAAAAAAAAAAAAAAAAAAAAAAAAAAAAAAAAAAAAAAAGAGTAATTAGTAAAAAGAACAAGGATAAAAGTGTAAATCTGAAAACTTTGAATCTAATAGAAACAATGCTACCATTCTAAAATCTAAGAATTAAATTAAAAAATGTTGATCATCAAAATTAGACTATTTATTCTTTTTATTCTTTTTTTTTTTTTCGTGATGAGATATTTTCTCATTTAATTTTAAGTCAACTATACCAATTTAATGGCTATAAATGAGTCAATTTATGTATTTTAATTACGTATAAAAAAGATCAACTGCATTAATTTTGTCATTCAAATTATATATATATATATAATTAAAAGATATATTACACATAAAATTAAATTATATGTGAATTATTAAATTTCTAAATTGGTAGCCTAGTGAAGGTTCAATTACCTATTACAAAAATAAATTAAAAGTTAAAATATATATTAGATACCAATTTCAATATTTGGGGATTAAAAAAAAATATATATTTTTGAAGGAAAATTTCATTTTTCTATTGGAACTTTTAATTTAAATTTTTATGAACAGATAATCAGTATGTAATTCATGTTGTTGTTCTAGACGTTAGGTTAGCTTGAGCTTCTTGCTTGTAAATGTAGTTCTTGTTGTTGGTTGTCTTCTAGAAGTTAGTAACTTTGACCTTTCTGTAATGTAAATGTTGTTGTTCTTCTCGAATAGCTAGAGCTTGAGAACCTTCTGTAATGTAAAATGTTGTTGTTTGTCTTGCTCATGACTGGACAAGAAATGTTTGTTTAAACGGAGAATGGAGAGAGATAAAGAGAATTTTTTCGAATTTTCTCATTTTCTCCTCATTAGCTAATTTGAATTGAGGACGGGGATTAGTTAACCGTCCCCAACCCTATCCAATTTCCTACCACATGGATATCTCTACTAATACTCGGCTCGCCAATTTGTTAGTATATATATAGACTAAAAGGATAATTATTTTCTCATTTTCTCCTCATTAGCTAAACAGGATTGAGACGGGGATTATGTTAGCCGTCTCTGACCCTATCCAATTTCCTGCCACATGGAGAATTTCCTAATGGAGATTATGTTAGCTTGAAATGAGAATTTTTTTATTTTCTCCTCATTAGTTAAATGGGATTGAGGACGGGGATTATGTTAGCCATCTTCGACCCTATCCAATTTCCAACCACATAGAGAATTGGAATATGTTAGCCGTCTCTGACCCTAAAAGGAGAATTTTATCATTTCTCCTCCTTAGCTAAATGGGATTGAGGACGGAGATTATGTTAGCCGACTTTGATCCTACCCAATTTCCTATCACATAGATATCTCTACTAACACGATTTTCGATTCATATATATATATACTGAGTTGAACTCTCTTCATAGACCACTTTTCTAAACATTGTATCAGAAACATTCGCTAAACATGTTGGGATTTGTAATAACACAGTTACAACTAACAAGCATCAAGCAAGCAGTAAGCACAACTATGTTAAGCAGAAGCCAAACCGAATGTCAGCGAGGGGCGATGGTTGGGACGACGCCACTGATGAGATCACTCCCCGAAATGCTTCCCGATGCAAACCGGTCTCGGGTGATGCAGGATGACATTGAAACTGGTGAGGGAAGACCGGCACTTGATCTCAGGGACGGGTCTGAATACAAGGCGCCACTGTCATCAGGCATCATGTACAGTATGTTCTCCAGCTCCCTCACTACAACCAGCATGGACGGCCGCTCTTCTGGCTTGTCATGGCAACAACTGAGGGCCAAAGCAACAAACCTTTCTAAACACTCAGATGCGAAAGAACCCAACTTGGTGTCTACAATTGAAAGAATCGTTCCCATTTGATGTGCCAATTTGACCTGATATGTAAACATAGCATGTTAAAAGTAGAGAAAAGAAGTAAAGCTTATACTTTATAAAAGTCTTGATTATGAACAACTATAATAGTTCAAATCCACCGCTAGCATATGTTGTCTTATTCGGGCTTTTCCTCAAGGTATTTAAAATGCGTCTATTAGGGAGAGGTTTTCACACCCTTGTAAAGAATGTTTCGTTCCCCTCTCCAGCCGATGTGGGATCTCATAATCCACCCCCCTTTGGGGCCAGCGTCCTTACTGGTACTCGTTCCCCTCTCCAATCAATGTGGGACCCCCCTTCGGGGCCAGCGTTCTCGCTAGCACACCACCTGGTGTTCACCCCCTTCGGTGCTCAGCCCTTTGCTATCACATCGCCCGATGTCTGGCTCTGATACTATTTGTAATAGCTCAAGCCCGCCACTAGAAGATATTGACCTCTTTGGGATTTCCCTTCCGGACTTCCCCTCAAGGTTTTTAAAACGCGTCTGTTAGGGAGATATTTTCACACCCTTATAAAGAATGTTTTGTTCCCCTCTCCAACCGATGTGAGATCTCACAACCCCCCCCCCCCCCCCCCCCCCCCCCCCCCCCCCCCCCCCCCCCCCCCCCCCCCCCCCCCCCCCCCCCCCCCCCCCCCCCCCCCCCCCCCCCCCTTCGGGGCCCAGCGTTCTCGCTGGCACTCGTTCCCCTCTCCAATCGATGTGGGACTCCCCAATCCACCCCCTTCAGGTCCAAGCATTCTCGCTGGCACACTGTCTGGTGTCCACCCCCGTCGAAGTTCAGTCTCCTCGTTGGCACATCGCTCGGTGTCTGGCTCTGATACCATTTGTAACAGCCCAAACCCATCGCTTGCAGATACTGAACTCTTTGGGTTTTCCCTTACAGGGTTCCCCTCAAGGTTTTAAAACATTGTCCTCTAGAGAGAGGTTTTCACACCCTTATAAAGAATATTTCATTTCCCTCTTCAACCGACGTGGGATCTCACAATAACCATACAAGCAAGCACAAAGTTTTGATTAAGAAAATGAGACGTAGAAGACGAATGGTGGAAGGAAATATACCTCACGAACAATGTTTTTGCCGTATGATATAGGGTGCATTCCCGTCAAGAGCTCCAATAACACAACTCCTAGGCTATAGACATCACTTTTATCCGTCAATTTGCGGGTTAAAAAGTACTCTGGATCAAGATAACCCTGCATAATACATAGAACACTCAGAAGCAAGTATTCACTCCTCATGGCACTGAACAATGACAACCAGATATTGATTTTGCAAATTACAAGGCATGACTTGAGAAAGATCAGATGGACAAAAAAACATCATGGGACATTCCTATAAATTTGGGATGCTTTATGTATACCATGTTCATCAAGATAAACTTACTGGGGTACCCTTCACAACAGTAGATATATGTCCAGGAACATCCCCCTCGAAATCTAGATCGGGAGCAAGACGTGATAATCCGAAATCAGCCACTTTGGCTGTGAGCTTGGCGTCGAGGAGTATGTTTCTAGCTTTGATGTCTCGGTGAAATATAGGAGGATTTGCTTCAGTATGGAGATACAGTATACCTTTAGCTGAACCCAGTGCAATTTGTAATCTCATACGAAAATTCAGATTTACGGTCGTTCTACTTTTGGCTGCCATAGAACAGTAGAGGTTAATGATGCAACTAAAACGTCATAAAAGAAAAACTCGAATAATCTTACGCCATCATGCTGCGGAATTTGATATATATATATATAAAAGCAAGGAATAGATGAACAATGTTCATAACATTTTTTCTGCACACACAAAAACGGTAAGAAATTCTTATTTCACCATTTGAAAGTCTTGAAAATAAGGGTAAAGAGGTTTTTCCATCAAGAAATAGGTAAAAAGGTCCTCTTTGGGTTTTTCCTTTCGGGCTTCCCCTCAGTTTTTAAAACGTGTCTGCTACGAAGAGGTCCACACCCTTATGAAGAATGCGTTCTCTTACCCAATAGATGTGGGATCTCTCAATCCAACTCCTTCGGGGCCCAACTCCTCGCTGACACTCATTCCCTTCTCCAATCGATGTGGGACCCCCTAATCTACCCTTCTTTAGGGCCTAGCGTCCTTGCTGGCACACCGCCTCGTGTCTACCCCTCTTCGGGGCTCAGCTTCCTCACTGGCACATCGCCCGGTGTTTGGCTCTAATACCATTGTCATAGCCCAAGCCCACCGCTAGCAAATATTGTCCTTTTTGAGTTTTCCCTTTCGGGCTTTCCCTCAAGGTTTTTAAAACTCGTTTACTAGGGAGAGGTTTCCACACCCTTAAAAAAAAATGTTTTTTTCTCCTCCCCAACCGAGAATAGGTAAAAAAAACAAAGGAGTAAATACAGAAAGACTTCAACCACAACCCATCTAGAAGCTAAAAAGATAACCCCATCACAGAAACCTCAAGGAAAAATGAACACCATAATTAACTCAATGTCTATATTATCAGTCACTTCAGCTAGTCTCATTTTTAGGATAATTGGAAATCAGAGTATATACTATTTGTATGTGTATATATTTCTAATATGAGAAAGGTGTTATATTTTCCACGAAACGCAAGGACAGAACCCACCGTAATAATAGAAAGAAAAACATATAATGGGGGCACAGGGAAAGCAGGATAATTTATAGTCCCAAGAGAGTTTGAAATTAAGCACATAATGGGGGCATGGGCATGTGGAATAGATTAAGGTTCGGAATAAATAAAATATTTGCTGAGGCCAATACCAGAAAATTCAAAGCCAGAAAGCCAGTCCCGCAAAGTTCCATTTGGCATAAACTCGTAAACCAGCATCTGTGGAAAGATGGAACAAAAAATAAATCACTGCAGAAATCAATGAAAAACATAGCAACATCTTCCTAATGCATGTGCTCCCTATAGAATTACTTCCCAGAATGAGTAACTTTTCTGAAACCATCTCACTACTTTGGCTTCAATTCATGGAACTCATCAAAGAACCTTGTTGACTTTAAAATTGATGCTAAACATATGTAAAGGGACATGATTTAATCACATGGTGTAATAGCTCGTTACGTATCGCCATCAGCCTCACGGTTTTCAAACGCGATTGCTAGGAAGAGGTTTACACACCCTTATAAGGAATGTTTCGTTCTCCTCTCCAACCAATGTGGGATCTCACAATCCACCCCCTTGGGTGCCCAACATCCTCGCTGGCACAATACCCGGTGTCTGACTATAATACCATTTGTAACAGCTCAAGCCCACCACTAGTAAATATTGTCCTCTTTGGGCTTTTCCTTCCAGGCTTCCCCTCAAGGTTTTTAAAACGCGTCTCCTAGGGAGAGGTTCCCACACCCTTATAAGAAATGTTTCGTTCTCCTCTTCAACCAATGTGGAATCTCACAATCCACCCTCTTTGAGGGCCCAGCGTCCCCGGTGTCTAGCTCTAATACCACTTGTAACATTCCAAGCCCACCGCTAACAGATATTGTCCGTGGTGGGCTTGGGCTGTTACACATGATAAGCTCAGACCTAGCCCCATGAAAAGAGAACAACATCAAGAACATCATAGGACCTAAATAAAGTAAAATAAAGTCAGCAACCTACTTGTTCTCCTGCTTCATCACAATATCCGATCAGCGAAACTAAGTTTCGGTGATGCAATCGTGATAAGAGTTCTATCTCCGTCAAGAATTCTTTTTGTCCTTGTAAGGATCCTTCTTCTGCACGCTTGATGGCGACAACTGAATTATCTGACAATATGCCTTTATAGACCTTGCCATAACCTCCTTGGCCAACTTGAGTTGAGCGGTTGAAATTTCCAGTAGCCGATTGCATTTCCTTGAATGAAAATGCTTTTACACCATCAATTTTCAGACCAATCTTTGAAGCTGCAAGGAAAGAAAATTTCAGAGCACTTTATGTGATAATTATCAGAGTTTAATTTCATTACTTACAGAATTTTTTCCTCGACAAATTTCGATGGTATCTTGAATGCCTAGTGAATAGGAGTATGGCTACCGCTACTGTCATAAGAATGCAGGTAATAGATCCAACTACAATGGCAGCCAGGATGCCCGCACCAATGCCCGTTTTCACTGTCTGGAAAATGACTGCACAAATAAACTTGTCAGGACACAAATTAAGAAATATTCATATCTAAAATAATAATAAAAATGAATGAAACTCATCGTTTCAAGCAATCGAGGACACAAATTAAGAAATATTCATACCCACTAAACAAAACTCAGCCAGTGTAACTGTCTAATATAATTATAGAGGCAGTGACACCAACATATTTACTCGGATATGAATCTTCTTAGATAACATTTTGATTTGCCAAAAGATGTTAGAGCTCATCTCAGCTGACACACAGCACTAAGTCACCAATGTCCTTAGATGTTGTGGGCCCCAAAATTTATACAATTGGCTTTAATAATATTATATGTGACCGCCCAAACCCACCGCTAGCAAGTGTTGTCCTCTTTGGGATTTCCCTTCAAGGGCTTCCCCTCAAGGTTTTAAAATGTGTCTGCTAGGGAGAGGTTTCCACACCCTTATAATGAATGTTTTGTTCCTCTCTCCAACCGATATAGGATCTCACAATCTACCCCTCTTGGGGCCCAAGTCCTAGCACACCGCCTAATGTATGGCTCTGATACCATTTGTATCAGTCCAAGTCTACTGTTAGCATATATTGTCCGCTTTGGCCCGTTACGTATCTCCGTCAACCTCATGATTTTAAAACGTGTCTATTAGGAAGAAGTTTCCACATCCTTATAGAGAATGCTTTATTCCCTTCTCCAACCAATCTGAGATCTCACATTATACTACCCTTATAAAAATTTTGAACTTCAAGTATCCTTCCACTTTAATCTTAAGGATGTGGCATACTTATCTAATGTCTTACAGATGCCATTCAACACTTGGTGAAGATTTAAATATATAAAATATCTTAACAGAGTATACAAAAGATGATCAACTACTAAGGACTCTAGTAAACAAAAGAAAAAAAAATGTTCACATTAGACTGGTAACTAAGTCACAAGACCAGTTAAGGTGTACTCGCCATTATTTAAAAGGAACATTGCAAAACAAAATACATACCAGTCTGATGATGGCCAGGGAGTGTGAAGTTGAGAAGCTCATATGGGCCAAAAAAGTCATCACGAGTGAAATTCCATGACATAAACTTTTCTGTAATTTGAAATACCTTACTTTGATCCAACACATGAGTACCACTATCAAATAATGGGAATATCTTTAGATACATCCTCAGTCGAGATCCTTCCCAAACGTATGAATCGATTAACAATTGCTGCTTATCCAAACTGAGTTCCTTTGTCAGATACGCTTGAAATGAATATATGTAAGGAGGAAAGTAGGAAAAACTTGGACTCTTCAGCCTATATCCAATACCAAGAGGTGATGCACAAAAGCACGGGTCAGGAGTGTCTGGAACGTATTCAAAGAAACTATCTGTTGGACAACTTCGACATGTTTCATTGGAGTTCCTCGAGCTTCTATGCAGCTGGTCCTCTACAATTTTAGACGTACAGAACAGGTCAGAGTTTTGTCGGTTCAAATTTTGGCAGAATGGATTTCCTCCAAGCCTACAGAATGAAACATGGTTGAATGAGGATTATAGAAAGAAGGTTTCTGAAAGTAATAAGCCAAATTTCTGATGAAAAAGATAACTCATTCTCATCTGAAAATGGCATATTAAGGTGCTTTCCTATGATAGCACCTTAAATCCATGCCTAAAAAAGATGATTTAAAATGAAAGAGAGAGCTTTCGTCACTATAAGGCACTAAAATATTTGTAATTTCAAAAATGGAAAGGAAGGAGACAAAAGCTAAGATTCTGGAATAGGATACATGAGAAATTCCATTGGCTTTCATTGGACATCAAAGCCAATATTAATCAGTAGTGAATTAAGTGTGTACCTTAGGGTGACATTAGCTGGAGGGTTTGTGCTTCCAGAAATGTCAGAAAACGAATTGTTCCGAAGATCACTGGATTAAAAGGAAAGAGAGATGATCATTAATCAATCATGAACAAATTTACTACAAAAATAGAAATGACATCAGATCTCACTCCATAAAGTACAGCTTTTTAACGCCTAAAAAAGAGAAATGGAACTCCAAGAAGTACAAGATACTATCCTATTTTTTGGCTCGAGGATTTACAGTGTAAGTCGAGCACTTGAATTGAAGGACATTTTCTCCCATAATGCAGGTACCGAACCATTCAAAAAGTTACTCTCAAGTAACCTGCAAGGAAGAGCCATTGAGAACGCTGAATTATATCAAGTGAACACAGCAAGAACAGGCTGAAGAATTACATCACTGAGATGAAAAAAATGTAATAAGATGCTTTGACAGCATAGCTATTTTGTCATGCAAACATTAATAAGGCCATGCATAAAAATCAGACAGAATCGTACAGTTTCTGGAGATTATGAAGATTGGAGAAACTTCTGGGTATAGATCCATTCAGCTGGTTGTGTGACAAAATTCTACAACATCAACGGATTCGTTAAGCATGAGAAAACCCATCAGAAAATCGTGAATGTCTGCAGCACGACCATGATACTTTTCTAAAAACATGTTATTCAAAAGATTTCTAACAAAATGAGAGCCAAAAATGAGAACAAGACAGTATTAATCGATAATCAACATCAGTCATTGACATACATTGTTGTCATGTTAGAAGAGAGGTTATATGGTGGTATGGGTCCAGTAAAATGGTTCCAGCTAAGATCCCTGTAGAACATGCAAAGTAACAAATACCATAGTTATGATCATTAGTCAATTCAAGACTTACTGAAACAAAACTAAACACCTACACAGAGGGTAACTTACAAGTAACTGAGGTTTGCAATTTTGCTGAAATTAGGAATCGGCCCCTCCAAGCTGCAATTCCTCAGACTTCTGGGAGAACCAAAACGGTGGAAGAGAAAAGCATTAGCAATCTTTAAGAAGATTCATGAAGCCAATTGCTTATTGGTTGTTACCTCTTTTTATTTAAAGAAAAAACTTGGAATGTCTTCAAAAGCCAGGAAATATGTCCATGATTTACATTCAAAGCATATATGTTTGTGGAAAATACAATAATGAAATATTGAAATCTTAATAGACCACCTTGGTGGGTAAGGTAAAGATATACAAAGACCATGATTGATGTTGAGAAGCATGCATGTAAAAATTAAGATAGCCTTTTTCAAAAAGTCATTAGAATTTAGAGTCGTTTTATTGCAGAAATATAGAAATGAATAGCATGGAAAGTGAAAACCGAAAGAAACACCAAATAATTAACACTTACAATTTCACTAATGTAGAAAATTCTTCATAAGAAACTGGAATTTCACCTTCTAAGTTGTTGTTATCAAGTTGCCTGCCAAAGGCAGCGTAGAGGTGAGAAATATATAAAAAAGCAACAGAAATTATATGTGATCCTTTTCTCATCAAGGAAAAACACATGCAGCTAACGAGGTAAAATACTGACGTAGACACATTTGAATCATTTATCCTTCCATATCAATAATAATACTACGAAGTTAAACATATATTGTCCTCTTTGGGCTTTCCCTCTAGGCTTTCTCTCAAGGTTTTAAAATACGTCTATTAAGGAGAGGTTTCCACACCCTTATAAGGAACGCTTAGTCTCCTCTTATTGAGGCATCTTAGGTTCTTCATAGGGATTTAGAGCCATGATGGAGGGGTCCCTTTCTATTTCATCATAGAAGAGGCATGCATTTGTTGCAGGCCATTTTCTTAACAGGAGAATGTTTTTGAGGCTTCATAGGAGGAGACTATGAGCAGTGTGCACTTAATTGCCCCTATGTGGATCTAGCGTATAGCGTTTCTGTGATTTAAAAGTTATTTTTAATTGTAAACAGATCGAAGTCGCTTATTTGCAATGTTGACTCCTCATGGTGGTCTTGACGCAGTGTGCTTGCACGGTCTTATATAATATAATTGTTGAGAAAGCAGACAATATAAAGTTTTGAATATGCTATAAGCAACTTGCCTGTATGACGAAAGTGAACTTACAGAATGCTTAGCTTTGGCAAGGACGAAAATTCTGGTGGCAGAGAACCCGATAGGTTATTGTTATCCAAAAGCCTGTAAAGAACACAAAAATTCATAGGAATTATGCCCTCTCATCACTTCCTATACACACATTTTTGGATAAGAAATATTTAAATACTCACAAGTGAAGAAGATTGTGTAATCTGGAAAGCTCAGATGGAATTTCACCACTTAAAGTGTTGTTATTGAAATGGCTGCAAAGTAAATGAAGAAATGGGGAAATTTTTTTAAAGAAAAATAAAGAAACAAAAATGATTCTTTGGATCAACTTAAAATGAAAAGAAGATGAAGATCCACTCACAGGTGCTTCACATGGGTCAAGTTGGCATATGATTTTGGGATATGCCCTGAAATTTGATTCTCATCTATTTGAAATCGTTTGAGATTTGTAAGATTACCAAGCTCATCCGGAAGAGAACCGGAGAATTTATTTCCATTTAAGAGCCTGTGCATCACAAAAATTCACACTGTGAGAAGAAACTAAGATTAAAAAAGGTAGCATTTAAGAAAACGCCTCTATCCTGTTTTACCCTTTCAAGATTTCTTTCAAGGTTTTTAAAACGTGTCTACTAGGGAGAGGTTTCCACACCCTTATAAAGAATGCTTCGTTCTCCTCCCCAACCAATATGGGATCTCACAATCCACTCCCCTTCGGAGCCCAACGTCCTCATTGGCATTCGTTCCCTTCTCCAATTAATGTGGGATCCCCCAATCCACCCCCTTCAGGGTCCAGTATCCTCGCTGGCACACCGCCTCGTGAACACCCTTCGGAGCTCAGCCTCCTCGCTGGCACATCGCCCGGTGTCTGGCTCTGATACCAATTGTAACAATCGAAGCCCACCGTTAGCAGATATTGTCCTCTTTGGGCTTTCCCTTTCGAGCTTCTCTTCAAGGTTTTAAAACGCGTCTACTATGAAGAGGTTTCCAGATCCTTATAAAGAATGTTTCGTTCTCCTCCCCAACCGATGTGGGATCTCACACCTAAATTCATGAATGATCTCTCTCACAATGAACAAGAAAAGTAACAGAAGCAAGCCCCAGGTGTAGGTAATCAGAAAAAAGAGGACAATTAACTTGAGAACGTGAAGGTTCTCTAGCTGCAATAATATTTAATAATAAACAGAAGTCATTTAAAATAGTTAAATTAGAACATGACTATCATGAACTATGAAGGAAAAAAGGGGCACACAAGCAAGCTACAGAAATAAACAAGAAGAAATCAGTGAGATAACTTACAAAAGTTTCAGCGGCCTCATACTGCCAATCTCCTTCGGAATTAAACCAGTTAGGTTATTCCACATGAAATTTCTTCCAGGAGAAACAAGGGGAAAAAATCATTATCAGAAAGAATGTTTAGGGAAGTATAAAGAGAATAATGGAAGCTTCATTAAGATGCCAAATTCATTGTCAACTACTCACAAATTCTCAAGCTGAGACAATTGGCTGATCTCAGGGGCTAAGTTTCCAGATAGGTTCATATTCAGTAGCTGGCTGCAACAAATGAAGGAGAATAAATGGAAATTATTTAAGCCATTATGCAATATAGCAATAGCTGAGTGACATTAGAACGCATAAAATTTGTGAGATCCCACGTTGGTTGGAAGCATGCATTTTTTTATAAGGGTGTGGAAACTTCTACTTAGCAAACGTATTTTAAAAACCTTGAGGGGAAGCCCAAAAAGGAAAACCCAAAGAGGACAATATTTGCTAGCAGTGGGCTAGGAGTGTTACAAAATTATTTAAGCCATTATATTTTTCCAATGATCATTGTTCTGTTTTTCAGAAAACAAAACTTGCAACAAAATAGAACATATTTTTTTAAAATCCTCAACTTGTGAGTTTCTTGTGGGTCAAAAAATTTAACTTAGGACTGGAAAAATACAGAAACAATAACAAAGGGGATAGAGTGCTGGAGAAAACATACAGTTCTTTGACACGTAAGTTCCCGACAGCTCCATTGAAAATGCTACATACTACTCCAGTCCAATTAGTTGTGCAAGGATCTCCATTATTCCAATTTTTAAGATTGTCCATAGGATCAATCAGACTCCTCTTTACTGTTAGCAATGCTTCAACTGCAGATATTTATTCATGAGTTAGGATAAGGAGACTTATAAAGGCTCTAAATGATATTAGCCCCTATTAACATGGCCTTTTTAAATAATGGTTAGCAGAACAAAAAATTGTCACAGAATCGAAAAAAAAGAAACCAAAGTGGAGGATAATTGTATCAGTCCAAGCCCACCGCTAGTAGATATTGTCTGCTTCGCCGTCAGCCTCACAGTTTTAAAACACGTCTACTAGGGAGAGGTTCCACACTCTTATAAGGAATGCTTCGTTCCCCTCTCCAACCAATGTGGGATCTCACAATATCTGCTAGTAGTGGGTTTGGGTGGTTACAATAATCAACTCACTTCCTAGATCAAGTGGTTCAGGTGCTTGATTACAATATCCAACATATAAATATCACATTCAAGATAATTACCCCAAATGGTTAACAATTGTATACGATAAAAGCTACAGACCGTTGTTTAGTAGAACATATAAAGCACGAACACCACTCAATCAGAGTTTTTTTTTTTTTAGTCTGTAAATATCCATACCACCTTATGTGCACCTCGACTATTATTTCAAGACAACTACCTAGCCCAACCATACTTGGTTGTCAAGGAAACTTGTAAATAGACGATCACAATGATTTGAACTCATTCCCTTTAAGTCATTTATTGTGAGATCCCACATCAATTAGAGAGGAGAACAAAACATTCCTTATAAGGGTATGAAAACCTCTCCCTAGCAGATACGTTTTAAAAACTGTGAGGCCAACTGCGATATGTAACAAGTTAAAACGGAAAATATCTACTAGCGGTCAATTTGGACTTTTACATTTACAATTTACAATAGCTCTCATCGACCACTCAATCAAACTCAATACGGTTAATACGAAAGAATAGTCATTAGCAACTTGGTTAATATTATTCAAACTTTCAAAAGCTCCCTAAGTTGAGTCATGGAATTCCTTTGTACATGTCATACTACCAAGAACATTCACCTCAAATTCAAGGAAATAATCACCAAAACTGAGGCCATTGCAAAAGTAAAACAAGCCATAGCCCCTAAACTCAAACCAACCAAGAACGTGGAATCAAATTCATGAAAATCCATACAAACGAGACAAATTTACCATCAGATGGCTCTGTGATTGCAGCACCAGAAAGTAGCATGGAGCAGAAACACAAGAGCAGAAAAACGCACACACGATCCCTCCTCATTTAGCTTCCAAACAGCATCACAAGCAAAGAAACGAATTCCTACCAATTTCAAACCATTAGCCACAAAGAAAAATACGCAATCAGATTCTACAAATTCAACACAAAATCCATCGAAATCAGAAAAAAAACTCATAGAATTGAGACCTGTAGGAGATTGAAGGTTAGAGCAAGTAAGAAGGATGGGCAGTAGAAAAGGAAAGTGAGTTTGAAAATGGGGGCATCGGATGAAAGGGGAAAGCGACATTGTGGAGGTTTCGTTGGCGCTTCCAATTTACTAATATTTTTTTGCTTTTGCTTCACATTAGAGCCCACCCATTGACAGCAACACCATCGCCGATTCTCTCTCTCTCTCTCTTCTCTCTGTGAAGTTGAACCAGCGCAGAGGTTGTTGTTGACTTTTCTGTATCTCGACGATGATGTAAACTCCACGCGCTCTTTCGAGAGTGGGCTTATCAAACCAATCATTAAAATTCATCATTTTAAAATTATTATTAAAACTTTGTTTTGTATTATTATTAAATTGTTATTATCAAATATGCTGATAATACTTTAAATTATTTTTAAACAAAAAATTACATCTATCAAAAATACCATTTAAACTTTCAAAATATTTCAAATATATATTTTAACTTTAAAAAAATTCATTTAACATGCTTAAATTTTTTTAAAAGCTAAATAATAATAATAATAATAATAATAGTTAATATTAGACCAATCATTAAATTTTAAAAATATCATTTACTTTAAAAAATAAAATAATAAAATAATAATAATAATAATAATAATAATCTATCCATCCTTATAGATATTTCTGAATTTTTTAAATATGGTACCGTAAGAATATTTTTTAAAGTTTGGTATTAATGAAATTTTTGAAAATTTAATATTTATTACCCTTCTAACCATTAAAATTATTTTTAAAATAAAATATTAATGGTTTACATTAAGAATGTTTTTTAATTTTTTTAGTTAAAAAATATTCAAATGTTATTTTTTTTTATTAATTTAGCCTTATTATTATTTACGTTAATATTATTTTATTTTAAAAATATGAACATAATCGCTCCTAAAGTCAGGTTAGTACTAGTAAATAAATATTTGACCAAAAAACTATATATACTCATTTGAAAACTATATATACCAAAAAACTATAATTTATTTATTTGTATTTAATTTAATACAAATTATTTAATAGATGAATAACGTGTTTTTTTAAGGTATGCGAACACGTATTTAGATTTATTTAAAAAATAACGACCAAATCAAAATATTAAAAATTTAAATATATATTTTTAAGCAAAATATAAAATTCAAATATATTATTTTTATCAACGTCTACCATTATTTTATTTAAATAAACGAAAAAAAAAATGATAAAATGATTTGGGTAAAAATAATTGTTTGTTAAATAATTCTTCTTGGTGAGAAGGCGCGTGGGGGACAATTGAAGCTCGTAAAGAGGTTGTCTTGCACGTGGGAGGAAAATTTGAACATTCTTTAATTATATTATAATAGGAATAATCAAGAGGATGCCTAAAAGTCTTCTATATAATCGCTTTACTCTAATTTCATAATCATTTAATTATGATTATTATTATTATTATTATCTTTTGAGAAGATATGGGAAAGGGCAACAAAAGGGTTCATTGACTATTGTTGTATTATATATCCAACTAAAATCTAAGAAAATCCAAGGGTAGTTTTGGTAATTATTTTCTCAAATTTGGCTATTTCAAAGGTGTCATTTGGCCCGAGCATGGGTTTAGTAAAACCCGGGGTAATCATCTAAACAATAAATTTCTACTTATTTGTTATAATTTAGTAGGACCTACATTTTTTTTTTCATTTTCTCTCTTTAAAAACTCAAATTACATGAATAGACATCGTAAACTAAAAGATGTCCATTTTACCGACAAAGACTCGCGCTAAACAAGAAATCCCCTCTACAATTAGACAGAGAATGAGATAGAGAGGGGGAAACATTTTTCCCTATTAGATAATGGGTTTGGAGACGAGATTCTAGTTCCTGTCCCCGCCCCTTCACTTAATATAGATATATTTTCAATATATATATATATATATATGAGAAAAAATTATCCACAAATAATCTCTTGAAGAATTTTGCAAGAATGGAGGATTAAATAGGTGGTGGGGACGGGTCGAGTAAGGCTTCCCCATCTCCACACTGCCCATCTCTACTTCAAACTCAGATACATAACACTTCCTAAATCTTCAATCTAAACTTAAGATATCTAACATAAATGCCAAAAGTCCCTAAAAGTACAAAATACTCTAACTAGGAAGCTTAATGTTGATATCAACTTATCCATGTAGTACACTAGAAGATTTTCATATTCATGAAAATACTCTAACTAGGAAGCTTAATGTTGATATCGACTTATCCATGTAGTACGCTAGAAGATATTCATATTCTTTCATGAAATATCTTCGAAAACCTAGGAACATTGGTGGGAGAGAGATAAATTTAGGAAGCGAGACATATTTGAATGGACAAAGATGGGTATTGAGGATTCGATAAATTTTCAAATTCTTGATCGTATATGATTAGAAAAAAAATTAAAATCTATGAATTAAAACAAGACATTTAGTCTAGTAGAACGATTCGAGCATACAAAAAAAAAAACGTATAGTTCATAGAAGTCAGTACATTAGAAATCCATGACTCGAGACAAATAAACCTACAAATCAAACATACATAACTTCTAAGAAACTTAGAAAACAGAGTCAAGCAATGGGAGTGTTGGTTTATTTCCTTGTATGTATTAGGTCATTCTTTTACTCAAATCTATAAATACTTATGGGGGAAGTGGCCAAATAGAACGCTAAGAGGAGCCCAACTCATCGGCCTCCTAGTACTTATGAAAACACAAGTGAAGTTCATTTAGCTTAGTGTTGCTACTCATAACTATGAAGTGGATATACAGACTTCAACAATGATCATATCAATAATAACGTTTTGTACTATTTTCAATCCAAGATCTCGTGTTATACAACAGAAGAACATAGGGAGAAAGAAATGTGACCTTGTCCAAGCGAGAGTCTTCTAATGTCTCGGGTACCAGAACATGCCTTTAATTCCTTCAGGGTCTGGTTGGAAACCTAGATTCTGGTAAAACTCTACCACTGCAACAATCACATTATTTCAGACTTCAGCTGAATCTAAATCCAATCTAAGTTATTGCATAAGCTAAAATTTGAATCAGAATAAATTTTCCTTCCTACAATCGTGACATCGGGGTGTCGGGGGAAGTATTTGCCCGAAACCGATAAAAAAAAAAAAAGGATGTTGAACATGATTTGAATCAACATGAATATAACTAGCAGTTAAGGCGTCTTTATTTCCTTTAAAAGTTGGAGTTGAAATATAGCCTCATTCATGCAATATTCTAAAGAAAACAATAGTAATAGACTATATGATAGTTTAAATGGCGAAGAAGGTTGCAATAAAGGTTTTATAGGAAAGTTGTACGGCCCAAGCCCCCACTGCAAGCAAATATTGTCATCATTGGGCTTTCCCTTTCGGATTTCCCCTCAAGATTTTTAAAACGAGTCTAGTAGGGAGAGGTTTCCACATCCTTATAAGGAATGTTTCGTACCCCTCTCCAACCGATGTGGAATCTCACAATCCAACCCCTTGAAGGTCCAGTATTCTCGCTGGTACACCGCCCAGTGTCTAGCTCTAATACCTTTTGTAATAGCCCAAACCCACCACTAGTAGATATTGTCCTCTTTGGATTTTCCCTTTCGACCTTCCACTTAAAGTTCTTAAGAGGCATCTAGTAGGGAGAGATTTTCACACCCTTATAAGGAATGTTCTATTCCCCTCTCCAGCCGAAGTGGGATCTCACACAGCACTAAAGAGACTACTGTACCTTGACTATCCGCAAAGAGTGTTATATTGCCAATATCCCTTTGCAAAAGTGCCCTTATAAGCTTTTCAACTAGGGCCTTACCGAGGCCTTGGCCCTGAACCACAAAAGCATCATCACTTGTATTAGTATGTTTAGCATAGCATAAAAAATAATATCTATTCAGGTTCTAATGTACAAGATAGTCCAAGAACATGGGTTTTATGTCAAATTTACGCCCTCGAGTTGTTCTCTGATTAGTACAATGAAAATAATGAATTTTTGTCCCAGATCTTATGATCTCAATATTTGCAGTCTTCTGAGCTTACTTTTAATGCAGCCCCAAATGCCTGTTTTCCATGTCACTTGGTTATTCTTTAATGCATCTAGCTGATAATTATTATTATTTGTGAATCGACATTAAAATACACAAATTTCCTATAGTCTTCAGTGTAGCAATTGATAACCTGATAAGAAGGATCCACAAGAACATCCCAAATTGTAGCATTGAATGCGTGATCTGATGTGGCACGAGCCATACCAATCAGCTTCCTTTGTGCATTTTCATCTGTCAAATAACTTCTCAAAATACAATAAGATGTTCATAAATATTTTCAAACGTAGATGTAGCAAAATGAATGAAAAATCACAACAAAATACCTGAAACAGGAGACTTCTGTGTCGAATATAATGCAGCTACCATATAACTGTTTCTAAGGGCTGCAGCCAACTTTGGTAGTGGTCTACGAGGCCAACCTACCTGTCAAAATAATCTATCATTTACTCATGACTTGATTATTCTTAATATTGTGCATCATAACAATTTGCAATAACATCAAGCCTGAGAGGATGGATGAAGTAGCACATACTTTATTTCGAAAAAGAATGTAAAAATTAACTAAATAGAAGACAAATCCAGATCCCATCAATGAGCTCATAGTCTGCAAAACTGTAACGTTCCTAGCCCACCACTAGTAGATATTGTCCTTTTTGAGCTTTCCCTTTCAGACTTCCCCTCAAGGTTTTTAAGACGCGTCTGCTAGGGAGAGGTTTTCACACCCCTATAATGAATGTTTCGTTCTCCTCCCCAACCGATGTGGGATCTCACAATCCATGTGTAACGGCCCAAGCTCACCGCTACCAAATATTGTCCTCTTTGGTTTTCCCCTTCAGCCTTCCCCTCAAAGTTTTTAAAATGTATCAGCTAGAGAGAGGTTTTCACACTCTTATAAAGAATGTTTCGTTCTCCTCCCCAACCGACGTGGGATCTCACAAAAAATAATATTTCTGATTAGGTAGTTAGATGACTAACCTTATCACAAAGGGCTTGAAGATCATATATATCAATATCTCCACCTGAAGAAAATATTATTTGTTCGATTGTTCCATCTGATAATGTCGTCTCAGTAAGAACAAACTCCTCAGGCAAAGGTTCTTCTTCCTCTTCCTGAAGTGTGGAAGGGGGATCAACCACTTGGGTAGTATTA